ATTAATCTATGGTGTTGGAAATTCAAGAGAAAGGGTTGGATGATACAGGACACCGAGCTTAGAAACGGAGGATTTCAATCCTTCACCCTTGGGGGGAGATGATTTGCAGAATTGATGCAGGATAGGGCGCGGGAAAGGAGATGAAGAAGGAAGTTGGAGCTTTTAATTTTGTCTGATTTAATGCCTTCTTAATCTCCTTTTTATTATTTATACCTTTGGGGCTTTGGTGTAGTCCTCCCCAAACGTGTTGTACAACGGAATTTTTCTTCGAATAAATTCGGTTAATGTTATATATATATATATATATATATATATATATATATATATATATATATATATATATATATATATATATATATAGACACACACACACACATATATATTCTAGTGGCCACGGAAGCCACTACCCCCCTACGGAGCTCCGTTCATAAAATTGATCATTCTTACCCCCCTGGCAAATCCCCCCGCCAAGTCCCGACCCAAACTAATCACTCCACCTACGTCAATTGCACCTTGTAAGTATAATTGACTTTAAAGGCAAAAGTTTTTGCAGGACCTCAGGCGCTACCAACTCTTCTAAAACCAATTGGTGTTAGAAGAGGCGCATACCCTAGCCTTATAGTGCATTCATCACACAAGCGCCCACGACATTCGATTGTGACTTGGCCCACATAGCCTCCGCCACGGAACAATTGCTGCACACATGGCCAACAATCTCCCCCTCAGCAATTGCTCCCGCTGGGAATCGAACTCATGACCTTGGCTCCGATACCACTTGTAGGACCTCAGGCGCTACCAACTCTTCTAAAACCAATTGGTGTTAGAAGAGGCGCATACCCTAGCCTTATAGTGCATTCATCACACAAGCGCCCACGACATTCGATTGTGACTTGGCCCACATAGCCTCCGCCACGGAATAATTGCTGCACACATGGCCAACAATTTTGACTTTATCCCTTTATCACTCACTAATATCTAGATTAACACAAGGTATGGGATGTGTCACCTCGTTAAATTTAAATCGAAGGTTTACTGATTATCTTGATCAGCTAGCGGGATTCAAATAATATTAATATCATGTATACTAATTTATCTGGGTATGACCATACACTCCCCAAGTCACATCAATCAGTGGGCACGTAGATATTTACTTCCATAAAGGAAGGGATAAATCCTGTCCATGTCATTCACATCATTGCTTAAGCTTTACTACATACCCAAGATATAATTATACGTCCACTAATATTTCAAATGGCATTAATTATATCTCAAAGCATGCAACTATGCTTACCAAGAATCGTAATGACTTCAAATCTAAGGATAGTTATATAAATGATCGTATGAAAATACTATTAACACATTTTAAGGTATACCCATATAGTATTCTCATGGCGGGTCAATCCAACAATATATCCAATATGTTTGCCTACGTATAGATTCAGATAACACCTTATCAATAGCCTATAAGACGCAGCTATCTCATCTCATGTGTATTAGTCTTAATATATTATGACGTCCGTATTATCATAATATTCAACTAAGGATATTTAAGATCTAGTCACTATATTTGTAACAGTCTCAGAATCACAATATCGTAGTTCTCATCTATGTTACTAAAGCACTTATCTATGGACTGAAGCTATGTCTAAAGTACACGAGATTATTTAAACATTCTTCAAAGCCTTTATTCTTTGGCCTCTAGGGCTTACATATATTCAACATAATTGACACCCAAATGCGTGCATGCCTTCTTGCTATTATACGCCCCACAGTTCGCAAACATTTTCAGAGTTTTACTACCTCAACAGATCCATGGAATGCCCTTGCTTCCCGTTATAATTCAGTGTCAACAGCCCATATTTGTCAACTGAAAGACAAACTTCACACACTTTGCAAAGGTACCAAATTTATGACTCAATACCTCTATAACGTTTCCACCATTCTCAGGGATTTAGATGCTCTGAATGAAATAATTCCTTAGAGAGATGTAGTCAATGCTTTTATCCGAGGTCTTCCGACCGAATACTCCTCTTCCAAGCAAAATATTCGAATGAACAAGGAGAATATCAATCTAAACCAGCTTTCTGGGTAGCTCACCTCTGAAGAAATCAATCTTGAAATTGAGAACAAATTAAGTCTCCATGATTCTGCCAGTGGGAGTCCTCACACCGCCTAATTTACTGCCAGCAGTCGAGGTCGCGGTCTAGGGGGACCCCACGGTCGACCGTTTTTTGGATGTGGGGCAGCCGCAGGGAGACCCGGTCGATGCAACAGAAGAGGAGGAGGAGGCCGCGGTCCTCCACTAGATTTGCCAATGTGCCAAATTTATGCAAAGCATGGTCATTCTACTGGTACCGCTATGATGACTCTTACACCGTGAACAACTCAGCTGACATATCATGTGCTATGCATGCCACCACGAGCACCCAATCTAGTGATTGGTACCTTGGTATAGGTGCCAATACTTATGTTACGCATGATCTCTCACAGCTGCAATCTCCAACTGTAACACCCTAATCTGTCCAGGTCTGCAGCCCCATTCGGACTAAAGTATTTAACTTGGTAATCGTAAAAATTTAAAACTTTTCAAACACACTTTATTAATCCCAATAATATTTTTCATAACATATACAGTATGGAGTATTCAACAATATTGCGGAAGCGACTTTAATATTGACATATCATAAATTGTTTCAAAACTTGTCACATCCATCCCGACAATCTCGCCCCATCTGCTGCAAGGATCACATTGTTCTTTCTGTTTACCTGCGTGTAGCAAATAAAACACACTACACGCTCAGCGGTAAAGCTGAGTAAGCATATCTAGTGCTTCGAACATCCATATAAGCTGAATCTAAATTCATAATCAAATCATTTGATATCATGCACACAATATTCATTTCAGACATTCACAGTTTTGATAATGTTCAGTTCTTATCAACACATTTTATTCAATTCAGATATTATTCCGACAATGCCCTTAAATTATTCTTAATCTAAGGCCAAATAATAACAATTCTCTTAGCTATTCTTAGTCTAAGGCCATATCATAACAATGCTCTTAAAAAGGCAATTAATTATCTCACACTTAAACTATCATTTGTTTAAGGCAATTGATTTCGGACACTTAACTGTAGGCAGTTAAGGTAATTTAATAATCAGACACTTAAACTATCATTAGTTTAAGGCAAATGATTTCGGACACTTAACTGTAGTCAGTTAAGGCAACAACAGTATAGCGATTGATCAACGTTGGATCGGGGCATTCCCAAACGAGTGATCCTCTAGTTTGGTCTACGAATCCCATTTATGCGTTTTTATCTCATTCATCAAAATTATACAACATCATTTTTATTATACAAAATCATATTTATATTGTTCATAATTAATTTTTATCAAAATAGGATTTTAGAGCATATTTTCAGGAACATTTTCGTAGCAGGATCTGGAATTGAGGAAAATAATTTAAAATAATCAATTAATTTATAAAAATTGATTTTTACAATTTAAATAATCCATTAATTCATAATAATCAATTTTTACAATTTAAATAATCAAGTAATTCATAATAATCGATTTTTACAATTTAAATAATCAATTAATTCATAATAATCGATTTTTACAATATAAATAATCAATTAATTCATAATAATCGATTTTTACAATATAAATAATCGATTAAGTGGTACTGACTTCGAACCACTGATCTGAATAAAATTCTAATCGCTTTTTAGTAAGTAAATTATCGATTTTCGGCCACTGTTCATCATCTTCTTCCTCTGGTCAGGTTTAACATTATCATTTTTAATCGCCAAACTTCGATTAAATTATATAAAAATGTTCTCCAATATTCAGAAATCATTTTAGAGTCATTAATTTGTAGTTTTAACATCAAATTCAAGGTTTAAGATTCTTAGTCCTTCAAACATGTCAAACATAAAACTCAACCAAACGACCGTTTATGAACGTAGAAACGATCTATACGAACATTCTAGTCACTAGATATATCTACAGGCTTACCTCGAAGCTTAACGGAGGTTTTGGAAATTTTCCGGCGAAACTTCCGGCGATGAATGCTCCCAACTCTGGCGACTTCGGTGGCAACCAACAACACCAGACTGCTCTCCTTACTCTTATGAACACAATGGTATATATTTCCAGAAAATTGGTGAAGAATTGGTAAGGATTGAGTATCCTTATATAGGAGAAGAGAAGAGGAAGAGGACAATGCTCAGTCATTGCTGCGTCCCTTAATCGCGTAGTGGAGGTGTCTGCGCCGATCGAATATTTCCACGACATTTCCTGATTGGGACTACTTTAGGTCCCAGTCGGGGGTACACTTTTTGGTCCAACTTTCTCCGAATTAAATTTCGTTTGTACCGTTGCGATCAGACAGTTAAACTCTATTAAATGATATAATTTTTATAATTATTTTAAATACTTTTTCCGACATCATATTTTTGGCGGTTTGACTTTGAAAGAGTCAAAATTGGTTTAACTGACCTTTACTCAAAAAGGTTCTTACATTCCATTCATATTATTTATTTTCATGATTTATTTCAATAAATCATTTCAAAGTTTACCTCATAAATAATTTTCTTCATTTATTCTTAACTTGGGTCTCTACACAGGTTCCCAACCAAGATCACACAATTAATTAACATTTTGGATTTATCTCTATGAGACTTATCCTGATTGGATATTAAAACACAATTTATTTCGGCCCAAAGCCTAATTGAATATTTATTTTAATTAGAACAAATTTGACTAATTGAATATTTATTCATTAAAAATTTTAGGGTATGTTTTGGGGCATTACACCAACTCCCTGTCATGGCACTCAAACTATCACTGTAGGTAATGGTTATACTTTACCCATAACCCACACTGGCTCAGGTTCTATTCAAACACCACATGGTATATATATATATATATATATATATATATATATATATAAAATATATATATATAATATAAGAAAAAATGCTTTCTCCCTCTAGATCTCTCCGCGGCTAGGGTTACGACGACCGCCGCTATGGCGGTCCGGCGACCATCTTCCATACATGACCAACCCTCTCCCTCAACCTACTAGGAATCGCAGCTTGAACGACATAGCTCTCAAGGGTGACTTCAAACCAGCGACAAAATTCAAAGGGCAACCGGCCATCTCCTTCTCCGATGAGGACATCAACCATCTGTCTGCGAGGTTTGTTCGCACAATTGTGGGACGATTCACCAAGGGCAGACCTTGCCTTATTTCAATCCGTAAGGCCTTTGAACGAATCGCTTTTGAAAAGGATTTTACTGTAAGTTTGCTGGATGAAACTCATATCTTAATCAATTTCGAATCTGAGAACGATTTTCTGAGATGCTTGCTGCGAAAATACTGGAAGATTAATGGTTTTGTTTTGAAAGTGTTTCGCTGGACTCATGATTTTGACCCTGNTTGATTCCCCTCTAATTCCGGTTTGGATTAGTCTTGAAGGTCTTCCAATTCATCTATTTGACTCTCTGGCTTTGTATTCTATTGCCAATTTGATTGGTAAACCTCTGAAAACAGATGCTGCAACAGCAAGCCTGTCAAGGCCATCTGTTGCTCGTATTTGTGTCGAGGTTGATACCAGCAAGGACCTGCCCAATGGTGTCTGGATTCATCTTGGCCAACTTACATTTCACTAGCCTATCACTTATGAAGATCTTCCTGAATATTGCCCCTCCTGTAAATCATTTGGACATAAAAACTGCAAAAAGGCCACAACATCTAGATGGGTGGTGAAGGACACAACAGGGACTGGGAATACAGCACCTGCTGTAGCCGTCCCTTCGTTGTTGCTCCACGCTAATTTGCAGCCGGTGGATAAACCAGATGATGCCCTGAATCATGATGGTCCAAAAGAGAAGGAGGAGACCACTGTTGTGGAAACTTGCTCCTTTGCCCAGGTTGAAACACACTTGACACAACCTGTCCTAAAAGCTGTCAATGGGTTGGAACACTTACTAGTTACTACAGCTAAAACCTTTGAATCTGAAAACGAGGAACAATCTGCAATACACACAGCTACTCATAAGGCAAGTTTTGAAGCTTTGGCAACCACCATTGATAATGGTAGGGATGCTGAGGCTCCTGCGCCAACTGGCAGTGCTGAAGACAAAGGTGTGTTGGCTGAGATGGAACAAATCCGGGTTAGTGAGGATGCTCCTACTAACAATGACCCTAATTCCAGGATTGAACCAAGCTGTGAGGCACACAAACTGTCCCCTAAGACAGATTTGGAAGCACACAGTACGAAGAAGAATTCCCGCCCCTCTCTAAAGAGTCTGTAACTGCTACACTGGATGATTCTCCAGCCCAAAATCAAAGTAGTGATGCACACACTCTTTCCCCCGAGAAAGAGATGGATGGCACACTACCCCCTTCAATGAATGGAGATGATGAAAATATTTCTGATCCTACACATATCACAAATATCCCCCCACCTATAACTAACTATGCAGGTCATGACCCAACTACTATTGGACCTATTCTTCAGTCTTTTGAGATGGATGGTGAACATTATGAAATCAGGTCCTACGTTGAAGAAGCGGAGACAAGTAACCAAAGGGAGGAGCCTGACTTCAAAGATGTCCAGAGCAGACGCAGCAAAAGAGTGGGGAAGAGGGGAACTGCACCAAGGACGATTAAAACTAGAAGCTATGATCCAAATCTTGAAGTTGGAACGGTGAGCGAGATCACTAGATATTGGCCTAGCCGCAAATCAACCACAATGGAGAAAATCGTCACTACCAAAAGTTACTCTGGGCCCTTTTGGTACGCTGGACCCGTCGGCCCAATTGGAGCAGATGGGAAAAGACCAAAGAAAATAATGCCCAGAAACCTCGCCTTGGATCAGCACCCGGGTTTTATAATTTGGGAATGATTTTATCTCTCGTTTCATTTCTCATTCAGTTTCACTTTCATGCATCTCTAGAGGGGCATTGGCCTAGTCCTCCCCTCCCTGTACCTTTCTTTTACCTTTTTGCAATAAAATTTTTCGTTTTATTAAATATATATATATATATATATATATATATATATATATATATATATATATATATATATATATATATATATATATATATATATATATATATATATATATATATGGGATTGACTCCGGTTAGATGACGAGTTTGGGTAAGATGACGGTTCCCATCAGATGACACGCGCGCTTCTGGTCTTTTTTTCCCGCTCTCCTTGGCCCAGACTTCTTTCTTCATGGCCCAGACTTCTTTCTTCTTCGTCGCTTCGCCCAGTCTTCTTTCTTCTTCATACATTTCCTTCGCTCCCAATCGCCATTAATTTCTCTTCTTTCCCAGCTTCATCTTTCTCCTTCGACCCAAATAAACCCTAATCACTCCCAATCGCCATCGCCAACTCCTTCGCAGCATATTCTCTTTGGTTTCGGATTTTCTCTCCAGGTTTAGTGGCGCCACTACTAAAGGTATTTTTTTCTCCCCCCTGCTGAAGCTACTTCTGTATCATCTTTGAATATTATCTTTATAGTTGCACGGTTGGATCCAAAAAGCCATTGCTGAGATGGGAATTTTGTCACCAAAGCTGTGTTGTATTGCCCCCCCCTTCTCTAAATTTTTCATGCTATTGTTCTGTGCATTTTTTGTGGTGATTCTGTTACATTTATTCTGAATTCAGATTTATCTCTCCATGATTTTCATGCTTCTTAATATCTCTTTTTATTTTTTTTGACTCGCTGGTTTTGTTTCTAATACATTTCTCTTCAATTTGAGCCATGTTTTGGTTCATTTGAGCTCTGGTTTGGTTGAATTTTTATATATGTTAGGATGTTCACTGCTCAAGTACTTTAATATTGGGCTTTTGTGCTGTTAGGCTTAGAGGAAATTTGAGTGAGTTTGTATTCTGGACTTTTCATGTAGTGACCTTATTCTTTAGGTAATTTAATAGCATCTGAAAGCATGGAAGTTGAAGGTGGGAAAAAAATCATGGAAAAAAAGGTTGGTTCTTATCTTTCTCAAACACACATCACTTTAAATTTATTAACCTAAAATTTTAAACTTGTTTTTTGTGTTCTTGTTTTTTTAAGGAAACAAGCTGAGTTTGCTGTGGAAGAGCACACTGCTAAACCTTGCACACCTGCAGCTCCATCAACTTCCATAGTTCTTAGGAAAAGTCCACGTCTTTTATGTTTAGAACAGTCACCCACTGCCCTTGTCCCCAATGCAATCATTAATAGGCCAAAACAAGATGTTGCGACTATTTTAGAAAGTATAGTTGATGACAAAGATTATAAGACTCGTATGTCTCCGAACGGCCTTTTTAACCTCTTGCAGAGGTTAAATAGTGAGCAAAAAAAAGCTGTTGAAGAGTTGGGTTTTCATTCCCTTTTTGGTCTTGAAGCGTCAGTTCTACCGGTAAAGCTTTCAAAATGGCTTGTTTAAAACTTTGACCCAGATAGCTGTTCACTTAATCTTTTAAATGAGCGGGTTAGAATCACAGAAAAGGATGTCCATCTAACCCTTGGCCTCCCGACCGGGCCATTTGATGTTCTAGAAGCTCAAAACAAGCCAACAGACCCTGAGGATTATAAGACTTTGGTCCTTAAGTGGAGAGATGAGTGGGGTTTACAGAGGGATTTTCCACGTACCAATGCTATGCCCGATAGAATTTTAGGAATGGCGGGGTCAAGTGAAGGATTTAAGCTCAATTTTATGTTGTTCTTCATCTCTACCTGCATATCCGGAAACACAAATACATTTGCAAATTCAAGAGTGTTGCGCTCCTTAGTCAATTTGAGTAACGTGAATAAATTAAACTGGTGCAAGTATACCTTGACCAGTTTAATTAATTCTACCATTCAATGGAAGCGAAAGTCAAATCCTTATTTTACTGGGCCTGTTTTATTCTTAATGGTATGTATTCATTTTCCTTAACATAAAACTTTATAAGTTCCAACACAATAGTTCGCGGTATATATTTTACAGAATCGTCTGTGTTATACTGATTTTTTGTCTTTTTAGATGTTTTATGTTGATAGGGTTGTCTTCCGAATGAGAGTAGTGCCTAGAACTTTTCCAACTATGCTAGGTTGGACTTCGCAGAAGCTTAAGGAAAGAGAAGGATTGGAGCGGGAATCAGGTTAGTGCAACTTATTTTTAGGAGGTTCATGCTTTTTTAAGTTACACGTTACTAAATAATACTATAAATAGGTGGTTTTGGCTGTGGAAGCGTGGACCCACAAATCAATAAAGAGTTGTTTTCAAATGAAAACCCGTCTCTTGAAGATCCTCCTGGGAAAACATCACAATCACAGGTAATTGTAACACACACACACATCAGTTTTCTTTATGTTCAAAAATCCATGCCCTGCCTACACTAGTGCTTTGCTTTTTGTTCTATAATTTCATTTCCCATTTCAGTTCACTACCTGCCATCCAATCCATTTTTACACAAACACACTCTATGACTGTTCAATCAACGTCTTAGTCTCCTAAATTAACTCCTTGCTTGGATGAATGAAGTGATCATGCTCTTGCTTCTTTTTCATATTTATTTGATTTGACTTTGAGTGGATAATTTGAAGTTGAAGCACTGAATATCAAAGTAACTTGACACACTTTTTTCTTTTTTAAAAACCTGTTTTAGAACGACGTTTTAGAGGAGGCACGGACTGTTGCAAAAGAGTTGGTGCAAAAAATATCAAAGTGGGACACCGTCTGTAGAGGTTTGAATAGTGAGTTCCCAAATTCAAATGTCGTCAAGAGAATGCAACAAACTGCTGCTGAAGTGATTGTTGCTGTTGGTAAAAGTCCAAGAATATCAGGTACTCCGATTTCAGAAACGAATCCGAAACTGCAATTCGAAGTAGTCCACGAGAGCCCTTCTTTCTTGGCTGAAATATCTCGACTTGAAATGGAATTTTTCACGGTGAAGCGCAACCTTGAGACCAACAGCCAAGACTTGTCCATGCCATCATTTAGCTTAGGGCTTACACCAGAGGAAAAGGAAAATCAAAATGAGGAGATTCAACATGAAGAGGTTCAGCATGAGGAGATTCAAACAAAGAATGGAGATGGCACAGCCCAACATGCAATTTCACTGCATTGGCAGATGATGTACAGAGTCACCCCCAAATTGAGCCTATCCCAGCTTTTCTAGAGAGTGCAGTTCAAGGGCAACAAGAAGAAACTATTCTTTTTCAGCCAACCCCACCATATACTCACTTTAATATACTCACTTTACAAGTCAAGAAATTGCATCTGGTCCTAGCCCTGCTCGAAGTCCTGTATTCCTTAAAAGACGACATCAACCCGAAAGGAAGAAAGAATTTGCACACGCCTTCTGTTCTCCTTTTTGGATAAGAAACATGGAAGCACTCTCACGGTTGAGTCGTGCCGAGAAGGTTCTCATGGACTACGTATTCAACAAATCTCTTTTACTTGGGTAAGTGTTACCTTTTCACGTTGTTTTGTAAAAAAGTTACTTAATTTAATTATTATTATTAAGATTTTTTTGATATTTATTTATCCTATTTTCCATAATTTTAATTACAGGGAAGTTTTGTACAAAGACATGTTTTGTGAAATGAAGCGAAGCGATTTAATATCCTTTTTCGAAGGGTCTGTCTCATCACTCATTTTACAGATTTGGTTTCGATTCTTGAATGCCGAGGAAAAGCATCAAAGCAAGTCAGATGTCTATCGAGTTTTCCTTAGCACGAATCCTTTTGTATGTAACCTCTTTACATTATTCATGTACTTTAGTGTATAATAGTGGAGATATTCAAATGTGACACTGACATAAACTTTACATTATTCATGTAGGCTGAGTTTGTAAAGATCAGTTTATATGACGATGCTCATGAAACCTTTTGTGAAGTCGCTGACAGAGATTTGGTAGAACAACAGTTTTATGGCGGCATTGATATGTGTACTGCAGATTTGGTCAGCTACATGGAATTGTTTGTTTTTAGTGTTTTGTATCTAATGTATTCATTTATTCTGATATAATTTCTGTTCTTATTTTACTGCAGGTATTCTTCTTGGTTGCTGATGAAACAGACAAGGATGATGTTTATATAGTCTGTTTTAACATGAAAAAGGAGAAGATAACCATCATTGATTCAATTGAAGATAAAACTAAGGTGTATGATACATGTGTTGAATGTTTGGTAAGATCCTTTTCAAAGCGTGGTAATACTGACTTAAGCTTGAACTTCATTGTTTATTCTTCAACTTAATCTAATATAGTCTCACTGACTTGCAGAAAAATGGAATGTGCGAGTTTTTCAATGAAAAACAACTTGAGCAAAAAGCAAGTAAAATTTCCAAATTTCCTTTTGAAATAACAAAAAAGGCATGTTATAGGAACATGGAAGGTATGGGTGTTGGTGCTATAGCCATGAGGCAATTGGAAACTTTCAAGGGGAATTTGAATACGTGGAAGATGGATTTGAACAAAAATGATGTAAGTCTTATGTCTTTTTTGTTTATAAGGTGAAATAAGATAAAATTATCACACATTTTATCTTATTTTTATTGAATTTTAAATTTATTGGTAGGTAAATGGATTATGAATGCTCTGTGTCCGATATTGCTACGAAATGCTCACCTCTGATCATAATCAACTTGTCGTACAAGTGAAACGGAAAGTGGCAGAATATGGCAAGTTTATCAACTAGGATATGTGTCACACTTGGACACATACAGTGACAGTTTGATTTTTGGCCTAATGTCTGATTTGATTAAGTTTTAGCAATCTGATTTTGGGTTATTATGGTGTTGAGAAAACAGGATATGATTTGTGTGGATATAGGACCAGGTTAACATTTTTGGGTTATTTGCTTCTGTAGGTGTCAAGCAGTCATTTTGA